GACTAGTAATAGCATCTAACCACTTTCTAGCGAGCGCTCTGACACTAAACTGGAACAAAAGCACCGTTTTCAAATATCATAACTTTTTCATTTCTCTGAAATCCCTTGCAATGGAATTTTTGTGGAAGAACTCATATTGTCCATGACGACGCTTCAGAGGCAGGTCCTGACACGCATAAATTGCACAGATAGAGGCTGAAGAAAATAACTCAAATTTCAGTTTTTTTGAGTTCGGCCGTATAAGATGTAAATCTTGCGATAAAATGCAAGCGGTTGATATAGGTTCTGTTGTTTGTCCTTCCTAACTGTCCAAAGTTTGCGCAGATTGTTTGTATCGATGAGAACTTATGACTTTGAACAGGTAACACAAGACACCGGATTTGAATTTTTTTGTTCTCGAAAACCATGACTTTTTATGAAGACATCCTATCTGCGCAGACTCCTTGTTTAGTTAGAAAGAGCAGATAATAAGGCTGAAACATCGACTGGTTTGATTTTTATCGCAACAGATTTTGCGACCAAACCCAGAAAAATTTGAGTAATTTTTACATCCTCTATCTAAGGAATCTGTGATTAAGAGGACAACCAAGCCCTTTTCTGAAGACAACATCTAATCTAATTACAAAACTAAAATGTAGAAGATAACGTGTCTTCAGAATGCTTCAATAATCTTCGTTCATGTCCTTGTCATCGCTCTCCAAATCAACCACATAACTTCTAGAAATGACCATCAAGGCTGTTATTTTTGACATGGGAGGCGTTTTGATAGAATCACCTTCTGGAATGTGGATAGGTAAGTGTTGTGAATGATGATTATTCGGGAATCTTTCTATACATTCAGCGTGTCTGCAAAAGTTTCGACACTCAAGAAACTCAGCTTTTTAGGAATGGAAACGGACCTAAAGATCGACAAAGGCTCATTGTTTGCCGCTATGTTGGATCCTGTTCTGAAAACGGATGTGGAAGCTTTAGAAAGAGGAGAAATCACAGCGGACGAGTTTGATCTGATTTTTACGCAGTTCTACAACAAGCAGGTAAATTGAGGTG